TATATTTCATTATTTTCAATTAATCCTAAATAATTATAACAAATTAATTTTAAATTATACCAAATAATTGTATAAGAATATAGTTTTATATACAATCATATATACAATAATAATCTTACCTGAACTCTGATAAATTGTTTTTGTTTTATAATGCCAGTTTACGAAATTATCCACTATCACGCCGTAATCCAATTCCAAGTTGTACGCAATGAAAGAAAATCTGAACTTGCAGCAATGTTTACTATAAGGCTATTGGTTAAAATATAACTTGAACTATATTAGTCATAGTTTAGCCACTATAAATATATATGTGCGTATGGACGTACTTCTAGCACTAAGAATTCGTTGATGACTTTCTCACAGAAAACAATTTCTCAAACTGTCATAACGTTGCATGGGCATTTGCACGGATTTTGGTTTTCACAACACTTACTGCACCTTTGTTCTCTATCGTTGTAGTAGGGAGGCCAGCCAACCAATGACCTTGCAGAGTGAGAGTGACAGCATGTGCGTCTAATCATGCTATCTCTCTCTACATGCAGTAAATTTCAACATTGCCTCTCAGAAAGCGCATAGTATGGCAACAGAGATTGAAGCTACTAAACAATGTGAAATTGTCAAAGGTGAAATAGTTTTCTACTAAAATATTACTTTCGTTTGGTGCGCGTGTTTTCATTTCGGTTTTTTGTGTCTGATAAAATATATTGTATCGCACGGACAATTTTATAGACTGTGGTAAAACATTTTTACTTGAAAATGTTGAACGACATGAATCGGTGATTCGTAGCTTACTACTAAGATGAAAATACTAACATTAGTGATGTAAAATCCACGGAGAAGGCTCTTGAAAATGCCGAAGTGGGTGTTGTGCCAGATTATTGGATCGACGAAGAAAGACTTGTAGTGAAACTTCCTCCATTTACGGCTGATCAGCAATTGAATAAATTTTCATTCAAAAGGATCAAGCCGGGAACATTAGATAATTGGGAAGAGTACCCTATTTTAGAAATTAGATGAGATACAGATGAGTTTTTAAATTTTCTTTATAAATAAAACGCTCTTCAAGAAAATATGTTAAATTTAGATTAGCCATTAAATTAGTCATCTACTAAACAGTCGAATACAACAAAGTTATTCAATATTTAAAATGTTTTTACTTAAAATATATTGATCAATTTTAAATAGTTTAAATCAATAGTTTAAATCAAACCATGCTTTTGACAACTTATCACAAAGGTTGAAAAGGCTCGTTCCGGATATAGAGACTAGAACTTCGTTCTTCAGTTGATTATATATTGTAACAGGGTAGCTATCCGTTTATTTAATTATGCGCTCGATCGCATCGAAGAGCGCGCCGGATTATCTACACGTTCAAATTTAAAAATTGGAGAGCAGGAGGGAACGGGTGTCAGTCAACCAACTTTCTGCTAACACAAAATAATAATATCAGAATTACGGTTAATATCACATGCGAGATCGTTTAATTCCTCTAAAGTCTACAATGTATTCGGCCCGCGTGTTTATGTTTACAAAACGCGCGCGCGACAATAACATGCAGTGTCGGATCGCTCGCCGCTCTTTGTTCGCCGAGTTACTATATGTACCATTCTTATTGAGTACGAGAGATTAGTTAATATCAATTCTACTACAATCGCGAAATTAAGCTGGCCAGCTTACCTTATTAGCAGTAGCACGGAGAACGAGAGTAAAGGTTCGCACTCTAGTTGCGGGAAAGTCTGTCTTTTATGACCAAGCGGTTCTCGCTTTCGATTTCGCCCTCGATGGCGAAACCTCACACTCGCACACGCTCACACGCACTCGGCTCCGTCAGGCGAAGGCACAGCTTCTCTCTCTCTCCTAATTAACTCGTCTCGACACTCAGGAAAACTCAAGAAAAACTCTCTTTGTCACTATCTGCAGCGGTGTGCTCAGGTTCTGAGTTTCAACTCCCTGGCTGGAGATATCGATAGCTAATCCTCGACTAGTTCATTTTCATACGCGCGCGTTCCGTCCCGTCGCGTGCCGAATTCCCTCATTACATTTACCTCAACCGGTAAGTGCTGCCTTCGCAGGTAGCCTCATGGTTGGGCTGTTAGCGCTAATAAGACGTTTGCCGTCACAACTTGTATTACTGTAGCGATGTATACACTGTAAACATATTTCTTTTTCTTATTTAATGATTAAGTTACAGATATTAATTCATAACTATACATTTAATTTCACGAGAATCAAGCAATGTCTCGTCTTCGAGCTTTAATTATTATATAGAAAAGTATATAACATTTTTTATTGAAGTAATTTTAAATTACACTTTATATGTAAGTTTGAAAAAAACGATTGTAATTATGCTATCATTTATAAAACGATGTATAATGGATAATTTAATAAAGAATTAACTTATAATTTCATGCATATAATAATATTAAACAAAATATAATTATGTAGGAAAATGACGTCGTCATTGTCCAAAATGAAACTAATAGCAATCGATGACGTCATTATTCTAATATTTAAATCAATGGGAATATTATGTTGTCATGCTTATCAATAACGTCATCCCTTTACTAATGAAAGTGAATAAAAAAATATTTTTCAAAAAGACGTCACTTTATGGAAAAAAAATTTACAAAAAGACGTTATTTTTCGAGAAATAAAAAGTTGAAAAAGTTTTAAAAAATGACGTAATTTTTTTAGACAAAAAGCAATGAAAAATGTTGTTATAAAAGGACGTCATTTTCTGGGGAAAAGCGGCCAAAAGGTTTATAAAAACGACGTCATTTTCGAAGACAGAGCGGTATCGAGTTTTATAAACTGATGTCATTTTCTTGACCAAAACCCACCGACAAAAGTTTTTAAAAAATGACGTCATTTTTTGGGGAATTCAGCAAAAGGGTTTATAAAAAAGACGTCATTTGCGAAGACAGAGGGTATCGAGTTTTATAAACTGACGTCATTTTCTTGGCCAAAACCCACCGACAAAAGTTTTAATAAAATGACGTCTTTTGTCACGGGGGAAAGTGATGAAAACAATTTTTTATAAATGACGTCATAAGTGTTCCAATTTATGACATCAAATCACGTCATTTTTGACGTCATTGAAAGACGTCAGGAAAATACGTCATTATTTTCAATAGGGCATACGAACAAATTTGACAAGTTTCCAAAACAAAGCGTTATATTTGTGTTCCTAACTAGGTTATAATTTATTTATTTATTAACTATTACAATTATCAAATTGTAAAATAAATGTATATTAATAAAGCAAATTGAAATAAAAAATTTTATTTTCCAAACATTGTCTATTTTTGTCGTGTTACCAAAGCAGTGACAAATCAAACACTTCTGTTTATTAAAAATTCTTATAAAATCTTAATTTCTTAGATAAGATTTTAGATGAGAGTAATCCCAGATCATTATATAAATTTTTTAAGATATGACGTGAGAATCATTTCGACCCATTTCAATTCATTTCTTGTGGTAAATCTTTCGCTAGAGTAGGTTACGTATCATTTTTATACATTTCTCATGTTGGATCTTGCATAACAACAGGTTCCAACATAAGAAATAGGGAATAAAAATATTCTTGAAGATCTAACGATATTTCTTGCATTAGAAATGACGAAAGAATTTAAAATAGTAGTGCTATCAAACTATTAAAAACTTTAGATTAAATTTTGATATATGAAAATAGTCTTCTGCAATTAATTATAATATATAAGTTATGTAGCAAAAATATTTTCATATTTTATAGAAAAAATAGATGTTATTTTAAGTATTAAGGAAGTTATAGCGGTAATACGGTAGTCAAAACAAAAACTGTCTTGCACTTGACTTCCGTGGTGCCTGATGTTGCAACACCGCGACATTTGATGTGAGTGTACATGGACGCATACACACACCTGCGTCAGCGTATATAGGACTTACTGTGATATTAAACTATACTAATTATTTATATTCATTTCAACTGAAACCTATATTAATTTACTATTATTATTACTTATTATTATATATGAAATCAATTTTTTGAATATATGTATTACGTTCAAAGCAAATTGAGCAGACCATTAGTCAAGCATGCGCCTTAGTTTTTAAATGGTATACTATAATTCACCTGAAAACGTATACGGACAGTTAAGTGTTGCCATGTCTACTACGTAGACTCTAAATATTGCTATTTTTGTAGATTTATTTATTTATCCCTTAATTAACAAGCAACCTTCGAAATATTAAATACTATAAAAATATTTGTCAGATATTTTTCAAGTTTTAAAAAAATTTTTCAATGATATTTAACTGTCAATTATTCTGTGATAAGTAATTGATCACAAGAAAAAAGTAGTTTTCGATAAGAGTATGTGTGAAATCATGAAAAATATTTATTAAAATATCTTAGCTTAGTAATAACCTCGAGTCTTTAAAATTTTACTGACTCATTTATACACGTTTAACTACGTTTCAAGTTTCATATTTTTCTGACCGTTAATTTACTTTACGCTAGAACTCCTTTAATTCAAGTATTAAATCAATTTTTCATGATAAAAGCATTGAATTAATATTGTCAGTTTTATACTAATTTAAAAAATCGAAAGATCACTTTTGAATATTTTATTAAAATTTTTTCATGTGTATTGTAGAGATACATTTGACTATATATACCGAAAAATAAAAAAAAATATTTCTTTATTTACTGAGTTAACGTAAAATGGTGTATAAAGAAACTATTTGGTTATTTTATTGAAGATGTGACTATTTATTTAACAGAAAATATTGCGTGTATATAGATGACAATGTTTATACATACGATGAAATAAAGCAATTGTTATTTATTTAAGGTTGTTGATGATGAATTAATAGTCAACTTTATATTCATTTATTACTTTATTACTTCATTATTTTTGCAACTGAGTTGAGATCAAGGAATGTTACATATTGAATTTCAACTTCCATATAACAATAATAATATAATTATGCAATATTAGGATACAGTAAATGATACATACTTAGATTATTTTTAGTTTTCCTCATGCTTTGTGTATTAGAAAGATTTACTTTGACATTGAAAAATTCTATTGGATAGAGAAAGAAGGCACTCGTGTATAAAGCGAAATTGAAACTTAGTTCACAATAGTTTTTATCAAACACGAGTACTTGGAAATGATTCAAAATGTAATTGCTAAATTCTCGTCAATTAAAAAATCTGCAACTACTTATTTCTAGAAATAAAAATGTTTAAACTTTTTATGAAGTGAAATATATATCAAAAGTTTTTGAAATAAATGAATATAATGATTCACTCAACATAATAACAGCTGTTACTTGTGAATGGTAAGGAATGATAAATCAAGATAATCATCTGATATCTGGAAAGATGACTTTATAACAACTCTAAGTTCAATCGAATGTACTTATTCCCATAACGCACATACGAAAAGAATTTCCTATGCTTTATCTTTGCTGTTAAATAAAGATTGTACAAAATTGTACTTCTAATAAATACTATTCAAAATAAAGAACCTACAGCCATTGGCCAGATTTTATAAAAAATATATGAGATGAAATTTTTACTGACTAAAACAATGGAGGAGTGATTTATACTAAATCGTATTTCCTTTTATTATAATATTTCTACCTTGGCATGGAATTACCAATAAGTACTATTAGATTTTGCCTTTTCTTTGAAAAGTATGTATGTGAGGGAAACTCCATTTCATGTATCAAAAGAAAGGATAAGTTTTTTTGATTTACTCAATGAGACAAGCAGATAAATATTATTTATATTTATCTAAATGTATTTCCGTTCTGCTACTACAGAAGATCTATTCATTCCTCTTTAAGATAATTCATATTTAAGGGTCATTGATCATACTTAATAAAATAATAAATAATGAAATATAACTATTTTCAATAAACTTCATTAATCTTAATAATATTTAATTAAATAACATTTAGTTAAATAATATTTAGAGTGAAAACAAATTCGATAATTATTTATTATATTGTACATAATAAATTTGAATAAACTATTAAAGCCATATTGATTTGAGGATATTTTATTGAATCTTTTTTTTAGAAATTTTAATATGTATATGATACAATAATAACATTTAATGAAAATATATCTTAAACATTTTAGTATATATTTCAATAAATGATACATAAAAGTATTCTTAATCAGATTTATTGATTGGTGATTTATAAATTTTTATGGTAGTACATCAATACCTTAATAGCACATGCATATTCTTTTGAATAACATTTTGTAGATTTATAATGATCTGCTTTGCTCGGTTGTATACTTTACTCTAATATACACTGTGCTTTTATTGATGCACTTCTTGTAAACAATGTGCATTCTAAATTTTTTCCATTTGGAGTAAAGCAGTTAATTACGGATTATTAACAAATACTTAAGATGTAGTTGAAAAATTATAAATTTGTTTGTTTATACAGTTATGTTACACACATATAAAAAACCATATTTAAAAGAAAAAGAAAAAATTTTTCAAGTCGAAGCTCACATTATTTTTAAAAGTAAACTGATGTTTGACCGTACCGGATCTTAAAGGAAATTATTTTTAGTTTTACGGTTGATTATTTCTTCAATTCATATTACCGGCTCTATAAAAGCCCTTAGTAATCCGTTAAAGCAAGAATTAAACAAAAAATACTTTTTAAGTACTTTGTCATTGTTTAAAATAAAAGTTAATAACTTTTAAAATAAATTATTATTTATTGTTGTAATTATTTGGAAACCTCAAGACGTTACCCTATCTAAAAAGTTCATTATGATCCTGCTCGGATTTTGTCCGGATTTTGTCCAGAATCAGAGCTCAGAATTCGAGAAAAATTTAAGCAGATTCAGAACCAACACAGAACAACAAAGTCAATTAATAATAAAGCTGAAAATAATATACGGAAATAATTAATAAAGAAAATAGATATATAAAGTTGTTGTTAAAATTAATTATGTATTACAAGGATTATTATTTTTATACTGAAATTATAATTTTGTACCAAATGTAGTTTGTTCTTCAATAAAATATAAGCACATTTTTCATAGTTCAAAGAGTCATCAAAACTTAAAATACCTTAAAGTACCAGTTATATCGTAAATTTTAAAGATAAAGTGTTCTATTTAATATATGATATTAAGGAATACAAACTAGTACTATTTCTCATATCACTTTGACATAATATATGGAAGGAAAAATAAATCAAATGTTGTGAATTGTTGAATTTTAATATTAACAGAAAACAAATGTCTTTTATTACCAAAAAATTCTAAAATCAACATTCTAAAAAAGCTATCGTTGACAATCTTTCCAATTTTTTCTCTTTTATTTTTTTTTCTTCATATTGTTTAATTGTATAACTTATTTTTTCTCCAAGATAAGAGACTCTAATTTTTTTAAAATGTCTTGCAAATTATACTTTTCCAGCCAATCTTCACGGTAGTTGGCCAAAAGCCAATGTTTCACACATTCTACAAAGTAAAAAAAATTATTTTCATTGTAAAATAATGGTATAAATTGTAATTATAAATAATATTGAACGAATACTAAAATATTTTCATGATAAATAGCTTTCATTTTTTAGAAGTAACTTTTGTTCTGGGTTCTCCTGTCACGGATTTCATGTAAAAATCTTTTATTTCAATGAATTTGTTAACAATTTTTTTTTCTCACACAGATCATCACATATAAACTTGCAGATTGCAAGATTTCTTTATGTCTTTCCAAGATTTTCTCGTAATAGAGCAGTTGAATCAGATATGTATTATCTGATTGTTCTGTAAAAGAAAAATATATTAAGATACTTCATATCTAATACGAGTATGTGTATTTGAATAAAGAATTATAAATTTTGTCATACCATTTCATTTTCTGAATTGTGATCAAACCATCCCGCGTCAAAATGAAAACGTTTGGGCGAAATTTGAATTGAGTTTTCGTTTAAATCAAGTTTCTCCAAACTTTGGAGATGAAACTATCCCAAACTTGGGACAAATTTCATCTGGAAAATATTTTTATTCGCACGAAGCTTGGGAAAACTTTATATAATATTTTACAAAGTTTGATGAGAAATTCCCTTATATTTTTAATTTCTTATTATTGATATTAAATTATTGCACATTTTTATCAAGTTTTTCTAAACTTTACACATGGCTTTTCTTGCATTACAAACTTTGTATTAGTTTGTCTGAACTTTATATGAAGTTTTACCAAACTTCATAGTACTTTTTTATGACCTTTTTATAAACTTTCTTACCTAGAAACAAGTTACGAGAACAAATTACATTATTTTTTCTCCTTTTTTCAATGCTTCCATTCATATTCCAGTCAATATTAGTAATGTTGCTATGTTTATTCTGACCCGGAAATGAGACATCCGAATGGGAGCTGGCCCCATGACGTCATGATACGATGGAAGTTAGCCCATGATAACGGTGACGTCAGGATACGATGATGGGTGCTAGCGATAAATTGATAGCGGGTGTTAATTTGACAATTAATAATGCTCGCGTGATGGATGCGATAACATAGCATAGCATGAGTATATAGGGGCCTATAAGTCTAGAGGAGCTAGCGTAAGCACACCCCTCCCCACCCACACAGCATGAATTAATTCTAAAATAATTCAAAATTAATTCATGAAATAATATAATTATTTTAGAATTAATTCAATGAATTAATTCTGTATTAATTTTATGTTCGTTTTTTTTCCTCTAGAAATATAACGAATATTATTACTACATTAATTGACTATAATAATTTTCAAATATTACATGCATTTTAGAAGAATTATTTTATGAAATATTAACGTAATAGTTTTGAAATTATTACAGTTAGAATATTTTGAATTGTTTCAAAATTAATGTTTAAAATTAATATTGAAGAAATAAACAGCGGACATAAAATTAATACAGAATTGATTCGCTGAAATAATTTTCAAATATTACATGCATTTTAGAAGAATTATTTTATGAAATATTATTATAATAATTTTGAAATCATTACAGTAAGAATGTTTTGAATTGTTTCAAAATTAATTTTCAAAATGATACTTAAGTAATAAAAAGCTGGCGTAAAATTAATACAGAATTGATTCACTAAAATAATTTTAAAAGATTATATCCATTTCACAAGAATTATTTTATAAAATACTATCTAATTACTTTTAGAATTATTATAAAAAATATTTAAAATTATATAACACAACTAGATATACTATAAATAAATTATTTACTGAATATATAAGTAAAATTTTTAAAATTATTAAAAGTGCTATATTTTATATAATTATGGAAGAACACGAAATAAAATAATTGATAAACGTACAGTATTTTATTTAATGTTTACTTTAATATTATCTAGTATATGGTGTAACGGGGTTTCTTACCGTTTAATTATTTTTATTCGCGCAAGTTTATTGAAGGGCGAATGTAATCATCTATGCTTAATACATAATCCGGAGAGCATGGGGAAACAGGTGTCAGTCAACCAATAGATCTACTAATCTACGAAAATGAGTGGAAGCAATATGGAATAAGCGAGTCGAAAGCACTTGTTAATAACACGAACAGAATCTTTTATTGTCTATCAAATATTACACTGGATCGGCCCGCGAGTTTATGTTGACATGAGCGCTCGCTCATCGAGGACACACAGTGTCGGGACGCTCGCTGCTCTTTGTTAACAGAGCTATTGCATGCACGCTTCGAACACGAGAAATTAATTGTTATACATGCAACCACAATCGCGAGATTAAGCTGGCCAGCTTACCTTTGTTTTGCGGACGCTCGAAGATGACACCAATAAGTCGCACTCGGAAAAGGTCTATTGTTTGTTTGTGTCGCGAGTCGCGAACTTAAAAGCACGTGGCTTCGCCCTCGATCGCGAAATCTCACGCACGCACTAGCGTTATCACCGCGCATGGCGCCTTTGTCTGCTGGTTCAAGCCTTCGCCCTTGTGAGCTGCACGGCACCTCGGCTGCGACGATCTCTGGAACTCAGGTCTTGGTGCTCTGCGAACGGAATTCTGCTTCGATAACTCGGGAAGTGACAGCTGGTCTCGTACACACCGGCGAACTCGTTGATGGTCAAAGCTTCACTGGTTCAATTTCAATCGCGCGCGTTCCGTCTGCTCGCGTGCCGAATTCTTTCGTTACGTTTTTCGTCTCCCCGGTAGGTGCTGCCTCCGCAGGCAGCAATTAGGTTATATTATTAGCGCTAATTTGACGTTTACCGTCACAATGGATATACAGGGTGAGTCATTTTAATTTCCCCAGTCTAATAACTTTTGAAACAAGCAAATTACGCAAAAATGTTTCAGACCAAAGTTGTAGGGGTTCAAGGGGGACATCTAGGGGTGACTTTGAAATTGACCTTGAGCTTGACCTTGACGGTTTTCTCAAGGTCATTTCTATTTTTTTAATGGAAACCCCTATTTCTGATCTCAGGATCAGAAAGAGCGGGAAATTTTACGTTCAAGTATCTATTTAGTTTTTTTTCATAAGAACATAAACAATATTTCAGTTTTTACTTAAGAAATTGAAGCCGCTTTCAAACATCAAAAGGTTTAACGAGCATCGAAGACCTTTGTCGTACTTCTATTCTCAATGTGAAGCAAAGGTCAAATTCTTGAAAATTCTCTTATTTTTGTTACATTTCGAGGCGAAGCTTTTATCGCATATGACCGTTGTTAAATAAACTTCCAAAGAATAAGGGACTGGCCATGTACTAACGATGCTGATGTTTAAGATCATAAACTTCCTATCTTTAGCACTACCCAGGAACAACGACGTGGACGTAATAGGATTATGTTCCCTCTGGGGTGCTTTATTAACGTGAGTCCCCTTGCCTCTCACGATTCGGGGTGCTTTATTAACGTGAATCCCCTTGCCTCTCACGATTTGGGGTACTTTATTAATGTGAGTCCCCTTGCCTCTCACAATTCGTGATGAAACTAGAATAAACTTATTTCCTATCGGTTTTGCTCGAAATTATTACCATTTACGTCGATGCATTGCCTGAGCCTCTGTTCGAAGCTTTCAATAGTGCGCAGTAAGATATCTCTAGAGATTTGTCTACATGCAACTCTAATCCTTTCTATCATATTCTCTCTTGTTGTGGGCGCTTCGGCGAACACAGTATTTTTTAAGTATCCCCAAAGGAAGAAATCTGGGGAAGTTAAGTCCGGTGATCGTGCAGGCCAAGCAACTGAACCACCTCTTCCAATCCACCTTTGTTGGAAATTTCTATTTAAAAACTCTCGTACAATTAAAGCGAAATGCGGTCCTGCACCATCCAGTTGTATCTACATTCGACGTCTAGTCTCAAGATCTACGTCTTCAAGTAAAAGTGGGAGATGATCCCTTAAAAGTTCTAAAATAGCATTGCCGTTGACGTTTTCTTCAAAAAAGAATGGCCCGATGAGATGACCATTAACTATTCCACACCATACATTTACACTCCAACGATGTTGATTATCGACTGGTCTGTACCAGTGAGGATTCTGATCAGACCAATAATGACTGTTGTGACGATTCAATTGGCCAGTACTATGAAACGTAGCTTCATCAGAAAAAAGGACATAATTAAAAAAATTCGGATCCTGCAAAATCATCTGTAGAGCCCACCGACAGAAATTTACTCTGTTTCTCATATCATTAGCGTTTAATGCTTGCGTTAAGGTAATATGATACGGATGATATCTATTACTTCTTAAAATTCTAATAACGGTTCTCTGAGGTATTCCTGTTTCTCTCTCTATTTGTCGGCTGCTGATATGAGGATTTAGGTGAACCAATCCTAAGACAACCAAAACCCTAGCATCTCTATCATCATACTCATGTCTTGGTCGACTTCTTCGTAGATGCCCTTGTCGAGCTCTTTCTTCAAGACGATGAATGGTACGGTGATCAGGATGGCGCCTTTGTGGGTATCGAATTCGATACAACCTTGACGCTTCACGGTAATTACCTCTACATTCTCCTAAAATCCAAATCATATCAACTATCTCTATTGGGGTAAAATCAGCCATATTTAAAAGATTTTTTCAAAAAACCTCAATACAAATCAACAAAGGCCAAGATCATAGAAAGATGATACAAATTAAATATTACTGAAAACAGAGGCAATATTGTCCAAATTAGATTTCATATGATCGATGGCAATAAGAAAGGTCTCTTATTCAAATATGAAGAAATAATGATAGTGATACAATGAACACAAGCATGGTTAAAACAAAAGTAATATTTAAAGCTTTTTCAAAATTGAAATCACGACTGAACGTATTGCGATTACTTTCTAAACGACTTCCAAATGTAATAGATTCTTCATTGAACATGAAATTTATCCTTATGTATTTAACTTTTACTCTTATTTCTTTGCAGAACATCAGATTGATACTGAAATAGTTTCATTAATTTAATAGACTTGTAATAGCAAATTATTAGCAACAACTTCCAATATTTGAAATTTATTAATAATAATCATACAGTCCGGTGAAAAATAAAAAAGGATAGGGAACGGAAACAAGAATAGTCCCGTAAAATTTAAAAAAATTAAATTTAAAAAATTTTTAAATTTAAAAAATTTAAATCCTGTAAAATTTCCTGCTCTTTCCGATTCCAAGGTCAGAAATAAGGATTCCCAATAAAAAAATAGAATTGACCTTGAGAAAGCCGTCAAGGTCAAGCTCAAGGTCAATTTCAAAGTCACCCCTAGACGTCCCCCTTGAACTCCTACAACTTTTTTCTGAGTCATTTTTTCGTATTTTGCTTACATTGTTCGATTCTTGTTCCAGGATAGTTTTGACCTTAGCATGACCTTAAGGGTTTATTTTGACCCATGTTAAAAGATGTTATCTGGATGTAAAATTTCCCGCTCTTTCCGATTCCGAGGTCAGAAATAGGGGTTCCCAATAAAAAAATAGACTTGACCTTGAGAAAGCCGTCAAGGTCAAGCTCAAGGTCAATTTCAAAGTCATCCTTAGATGTCCCCCTTGAACCCCTACAACTTTGGTCTGAAACATTTTTGCGTAATTTGCTTGTTTCAAAAGTTATTAGACTGGGGAAATTAAAATGACTCACCCTGTATATTAGATATACATTATAAATATTACATAAAGCAGATTTCTTATCGAATTTTCACATTGAATTTCTTTCAATTTTAACGAATAATAATAAAAAATGGAAGTGCTTAACGCAATGCTAGAGGTTTAAATAATCCTGAATTAAAATTCCCTTAAGGAGATATGAAACGCCCCTGATAACACCTCGAAGAAATTAAGATTTGGTGCTGCTTGACCAAATTTTGAAAGAACCACTCTATAGAATTGTGTGAAATTTGAACTGAGTAATTCTTGGACATATATCTACACC